GGAATATAGCTGAAGATAAATTGTCGGGACCAGAGGCCTTACTTAATGATCTAATGGCTTCTTTTCAGTCCATTTTGTGGGGGTAGTTGCAGTGCCGGCGGAAGGCAAATATTGAGACCGGGCGAGTACCCTATCTGGCCCCCCCCCCCCAATGTTATTATAATTCTCTTTTTCTCTTCTTTCAATATTATCCTTTAACAACTAAGCATATTTTATGCTACTGTAACAATAAATTTTCACTTAAAGACACTTCAAAATTCTTCTTTTCTTTTAATCTAAGCCTGCGGTTGTTGTTTTTTGTATACCGGGTGCGTCTCAAATTGACTCACCCCTATAACTTTTTAATTTTTTTACATAAAAAACGAGATTTGGTATGAATAATAATGTATATGACATAAATTAGGATTGATTGACTATTCAGTTGTTTTTGGCCACTTCCTGTTTCACCGGAAATAACTAAAACTTTTGATTTTTAAATGGCACCTCGGTATACTTCTACTTTATTTGATAGAAAATGACACTCTGAGTAGAATGACATATCATATGTCAACTTTTGATATTTTCGTCCAAAAAACATTATATTTTAAATTTCAATCTAGAGTGCCATGGTTCTGTTAAAAACACTAATTTTTAAACAAGGAGCCTTGGAAAAATGGATTTGATCGTCTAATGTTTTTCGTGTCTTGTCCTGGCCGGTCCAAAAGATGCCAAAATCGTATTTTTAATCGAAAATATCAAGACATGACATATGTCATAAAGTAGAAATATACCGAGGGTGCCATTTAAAAATCAAAAGTTGTAGTAATTTCCGGTGAAACAGGAAGTGACCAAAAACAATTGAATACGTCAATTAATCCTAATTTATGTCGTATACAACTTAACAAGTATAGCTAGAGACGTGAGAAATATAAAATAAGAGACGCCCCTCGATGCGCAGTGGACAGCACACAAATTTGCTTTAATCAGATTTTTCGTAGCGTAACTGCATCTCTCTTCCGCCAAATGCGTTCTCTCTCTATCGTGTGCGCGACCGGTGCTATCCCCAAGTCTCTTCCTATATTTGTCAAACTGTACTAACATACCAAATTTCGTTTTTTTTTCTGAAAAAATAAACAAGTTATAGAGGTGAGCCACTTTTGAGACGCACCCGGTATATAGAGTTATGAGAAATATAATTCGAACTTCGGAAGTCTCGTCCTGGTACAAGTAATCTTTGAAAATATTAGTATTTAGTTTCAAGCAGTTGCATTATTTTTCTATAAGAATTTAAGAAAATTTTCTTTTCTTTTTCACAATCAATTATTTCGTCCACAATCAGTTTATGATCAAATACAGTTTTGTGGGCTTTAAAATGAGGTTGAGCCAGTGATTGAGATGCATTCCTTTGTCTTGCTCTAATGAGAAAATTCTACGATTCTGCTACCATTTTCAGTGTATTATTATACACATTCAATTGGGAAAATGAAAATCAACAAAAGATTGATAAATTTTCCCACTACTGTTAATAAATTAATTTAACTAATGAGGCAAACATAAGCTTTTTTTGGATAATAAGGATATCGATATATAATTTTAGGGTACATCAGGCATTAATAACAAATAAAAGGGTATTAGAAAAAGTGCGATTTTGAGCAGTCAGTCTAAAAGTGTCAATTGTGCTGGCTCTTGACCCAAAACAGTTTGTTTAGAGAAAATTTATAAAAACAAGAATTATAGAAAGAAAGGTAATTTACAAAAACTTGATAGTTTTTGAATTATAAGTAAAATACCGCGAACAAATCAGATTTATATTTTTTATTTTATTTTGTTTAAGATTTTTCCACGAAAACGAATTCGCAAATCCCAGTTTCGAATAGAGCACCCAAAAAACATATAGAATGGAAGAAATTAAACGAATACGAATTTTTTGAGCATAATTTCAGTAAACTATAATAGGATACGTCTAGTAGTGTTTATAATGTTTAGTCAGATATTCTTCCCTATGTGGTGTGGTAATTGGTAATACTTTAATGTGGAAATTGATAGTACCGATTAATTATTGATCTGGTCATTCGTTACTCTTTGATTAGATTACCGGTTTTAAATATTTTCGTTGCCGTCGTGGCGCCCCTCGGATACGGCGCCCCGGGCAGCCGCCCGGCCTTTCCGCCGGCCCTGGGTAGTTGTAATGGGTTTTCGTTTTTGGCTAGAGGTGGCGATGTTATTCATAAATTCATCATTTGTATTTCCAGTAGTTTTACACTTAAGGATTCTTTTTAAACTGATAACTGGTCCTTTTCGGGACACCTGTATACCTTGTGGTGCATCGGAACGCGGGACAAAGGAAATCCCATGTAAATTTTAAAAAGGTCAACTATTAACTCCTCAGATGATTTTATGCAAAAACTGTATTAGACTTTTTTGAAGTGGCGTTAAAGTTGTATGTCTAGAATTCAGTTTTATTTCAAATAGGCGTTTAAAAGTTATTTGCAAACATCTATCTTCAAATTACTAAAAATTTATAATACGGCTCAGAGAAAGCTACAATTAAAGTACCAGCAAAAATATGATTTTGTCATTGTCAAATTCGATGTCACATTTTTTTGTTTACAAGAATTTATGTTGTTTGAAAAGGGTAGTTAATTTTTTTCTGAATTGTAATGATCACCTACAAACGAATTAGTTGAACTGAGGATAGTATTCGCGGTGTACCATTCATTACTCGATCACTCACAGGCTTTGCTCACATACATACATCCACAATAAGTTAACAAATAAAAGAAATATTTGTAACTAAAGGAACTTTATTAAACTATGCTAAAATTAATAAAATGTTTACATAATCCCCCATTCACAGCCAAACAGTACCTCAAATGATTGTGAAATTCACGCCTCACAATACAAAACTGTTAAGGGCAGTACCTTTAGCATTCCACGATGTCGATTTCAGTCCATCTAAATTTCTGTATTTAATATGATTGAGCTCCACAGGAAGAAGTCGTTCGGCGTAAGATCCTGTGGTCTTTTCCTACTGTATCTCCAATAAACGGGAGTCAATGTTTTTCTTTTCTTTAACATGAAGAATATTCAAGTTATTGTTGTTTTCTTCCTGTTCAATTATTTTGTCTTTACACTTCCATGTGCTTAATACCTTAGTGTATTTAGTTTCAAACCTCTGATTTATTCTTTAAACTCAAACAGGTGACTTATTTGGTACAGGCTTTCCGGGTACTGAGCTGCGAACATATCTAACACAGCGGGAATACTATTTCCAGCAAAATGCCGTTTAACCATCGTAACTTTGGTAATTATGCAGTATAGGTGTTTTTCGTATTTTTAGAGATTTCTCAAAAATTCTTTTTTGACGTAATTCTAGAGACCAAATACAACACAAATCCGTGTGCGCACGTTGAAATTTTTTTTTAAATAATTTATAATTTACATATTTATTATGAGAAAAATTATACTTACGGGACGGGGGAGAAAAAAGGGGTGTTTGGGCGGGGTACTGCAGAAGGCCGCCGGGAGACACTGAAAAGAGCATTCCACGTCACTAAGGACACTAAATCACCATAAAAATGTGCAAAAAAATTGTTAAACTATTGCAAATTTGAAAGTAATAAATTCAAAACGACATTTCGTCCGCCATCAATCAATTGACATTTGACTGTAACATTTGATACTTTGACACCGTCTCACAACTGAAAACCAATGTTGCCAAACGTTGATCTATCCCTTTATCTATCCCGTAAATTACAGTGACAAGCGCTACAGGTTCTAACACGCTTTCGTAGGTCAGCAGGTTTTCCTCCCTTTTCCTTGATGTCCGTGACTGATGAGGCCATCGTTCGTTTATATTTTACGGGATAGATCAACGTTTGGCAATATTGGTTTTCAGTTGTGAGACGATGTCAAAGTATCAAATGTCACAGTCAAACAAATGTCAATTGATTGATGGCGGACGAAATGTCGTTTTGAATTTATTACTTTCAAATATGCCATATTTTAACTATTTTTTAGCAAATGTTTATAGTGATTTAGTGTCCTTAGTGACGTGGAATCCTCATTTCAGTGTCTCCCGGTGGCCTTCTGCAGTACCTCGCCCAAACACCCCTTTTTTCTCCCCCGTCCCGTAAGTATCAATTTTTTTTATAATAAATATTATGTAAATTATATTCGTATATTCCACGTCACTAAGGACACTAAATCACCATAAAAGTGTGCAAAAAAATTGTTAAACTATTGCAAATTTGAAAGTAATAAATTCAAAACGACATTTCGTCCGCCATCAATCAATTGACATTTGACTGTAACATTTGATACTTTGACACCGTCTCACAACTGAAAACCAATGTTGCCAAACGTTGATCTATCCCTTTATCTATCCCGTAAATTACAGTGACAAGCGCTACAGGTTCTAACACGCTTTCGTAGGTCAGCAGGTTTTCCTCCCTTTTCCTTGATGTCCGTGACTGATGAGGCCATCGCTTCGTGAGCGAATGGTCCGTGGTTCATATCTCACGCCGGACCAGAACTTTTTTATATTTTTTTTTGCTTATAGCAAAAAAAAAATATAATTGTTATAAAAAAAATATTATAATGCATTGGTTTCACTCTTTTTGGTTGGATTGGTTTAGTTATTTGGCGGGTTGGTTAGCGTGGTTATTTGGAAGGTGTTAATTTCCTTAATAACGTTGCAAACCCAACCATATGAGTATTTGATATTTGCACCTAGCGGCAAATTTAATGTACAATTCCATCGCGCGACGTTTAACCAACTAACCAATGAACTAACACCCTCCAAATAACCACGCTAACCAACCCGCCAAATAACTAAACCAATCCAACCAAAAAGAGTGAAACCAATGCATTATAATATTTTTTTTTTATGCTATGCTCCCTTCTTTATATTTTACGGGATAGATCAACGTTTGGCAACATTGGTTTTCAGTTGTGAGACGATGTCAAAGTATCAAATGTCACAGTCAAACAAATGTCAATTGATTGATGGCGGACGAAATGTCGTTTTGAATTTATTACTTTCAAATATGCCATATTTTAACTATTTTTTAGCAAATGTTTATAGTGATTTAGTGTCCTTAGTGACGTGGAATCCTCATTTCAGTGTCTCCCGGTGGCCTTCTGCAGTACCTCGCCCAAACACCCCTTTTTTCTCCCCCGTCCCGTAAGTATCAATTTTTTTTATAATAAATATTATGTAAATTATAAATTATCTAATTTTCAACGTGCCACCCGGATTTGTGTGTCACACCCGGATTTGTGTTGTATTTGGTCTCTGGAATCACGTAAAAAAAGAATTTTTAAGAAATCTCTAAAAATACGAAAAACACCTATACTGCATAATTACCGTAACTTTTTCACAAATCTTAATTATCTTATACAAAATTACTCTATTTTGTACCTTCAAATTTTTGCAAGCAAAATTTGACAATGACATATCACATTTTTGCTGAAAGCTACAATTAAAATACCAGCTGGGCCGTATTATAAATTTTATTAATTTGATAGAGATTTTCGCAAATAACTTTTAAATTACTGTTCCACATGTGACGAAATTCTAGACAACAGTACAACTTTAACGCCTCTTAAAAAAAGGGTAATACAACTTTCGCATAAAATTACCTGGGGAGATAATATTTGACCTTTTTAAAATTTACATGGGATTTCCTATGTCCCGTGTTCCGATGCACCACACGGTATGTGCTTATTCAATTAATTAAGATTTTTTTTAAGACAGATCACTTTTTTATAGTTTTATACCTTCTTTTATGACTAACCTATTTCGATGGTCGTAACTCGTAACACAAACCAATCAAACTTGTTCAAACTAGTAAATTAAAAGCCTTTTAGTATTGTCAAGAAAAATGGCGCATCCGCCAGAAATTAAAAATGTATTACTGGTTGCCTGCACAACCGCAACGTATCCGCCAGAAATTAAAAGACTTTTTCAGGCGCCATCTTTTAGTCAAGTCGAGAAGTAAGGGAATCAGACAATAGAATTGTCTGGTATGAAGAAGTACGCTTTCCGAGAATTGGAGAAGTTTCGAGAAGCAGTCAATAGAGTATATAAGCCGGAGCCATCGACAACTGAGACAGTTTTGAAATTTGAATATACCGCGTGGAAATTGAAAATCGGACAATTTGGTGAAGGAATAGTTAGTTTGTTGTGTGTTATAAGTTAGTAATTGTGTATAAAGTGAGAAAATAAATTCGTTTAAGTATTTTATCGTGAGTTTAAATTAGTGGACCCACGGAATCCCGTAACAATTGGTGTCGGAAGTGCGATTCAAGAGGATTTTAAGAAGAAATTAAGTGGATTGGAGGATTTTAGACCGGATTAGAGTATTTTATGGTTGGTACAAGGGAACAAGCGAAGAAAATGGAGGAAGTAAGCAAACTATTAGGCGATTTTATGGAGAATATGAGAAGAGAAAAGGCAGAAGAACAAGAGAGGCTGCGAAAAGAAAAAGCAGAAGATCAAGAAAGACTCCGTAAAGAACGAGAAGAAGAGCGAGCCCGACTAGAAAAGAGAAAGCAGAAGAACAAGAAAGACTCCGTAAAGAACGAGAAGAAGAGCAGAGCCCGATTAGAAAGAGAAAAGGAAGAGGAAAAACTACGACGTCAACAAGAACAGGACCGGCTTGAGAAAATTTTCGAAGATTTGAAAGTTCAACGACAACAAGAGAAACAAGAAGAACAGGACCGGCTTGAGAAAATACTGGGTAATTTGGAAATTCGTTTGGAGGAGCGACGTCAAAAAGAAAGACAAGAAGAACAGGACCGTATTCAGAAAATTTTAGAAAATCAAGGAATTAGACAAGAACGGTTGGAGAAAATTGTTGAAGATTTAGAAGTGCGTCGCCAGAAAGAAAAATTTGAAGATCAGGACCGTCTTAAGAAAACTTTGGAAAATCAGGAATTTCGACTACAGAAGAATTTTGAAGACCTGGAAAAACGACAGGAGAACCATTTCCAAGAAGTTGTAGAAGATCTGGAGGAGCGCCTTCAGCAGAAAATGGAAAAATTGGAGATGGACCTACAGAAGACCAAGGTACAAGTAAGGACACCTGGCGTTCATGGAACTGCGAACCTCAAGGCCCCGACCTACGATGGACAAACCACCTGGACGATGTACCACCGCCAGTTTGAAGCAGCGGCTGCTGCCAATGGATGGACTGACCAGGAGAAAGCAGCGGCACTCGTCATCGCGCTGCGTGGCCCTGCCCTGGAATTGCTACAAACTATTCCTGCAGCCCAACAGCAGGAATACGAAACATTGGTTGCTGCACTGGACAGAAGATATGGCGACCAACATCGACGCCAACTTTACCAGGCCCAGATCAAGACACGCCTGCAGAGGTCCGGAGAGAGTCTGCAGGAATTTGAAGCAGACTTACGTCGGCTGGTACACCTGGCATATCAGTAGCACCGGAAGGATTTAGGGAGGAACTCGCTGCTCAGTGCTTTATCAGCGGACTGAAGGACAACGAATTGCAGAGGGCGCTGCAAATATCCCGATTTTCTACCAGCAGCGAAGCACTGGTCAGGGCGCTGGAAATTGAAGCTGCCTTTAGCGCCATCCCTAGACCAAAGATAAGATCGGTAACGGTCGAGGAACAGCCCGGAAGTTCTCACATACGTTTGGAGGAGATGTTTAGTAAACTATGTGAGTTACTAGTGAACAAGAGTAGCAACAACACCCAGACAGAGAACCATAGAAGATCCCAGGACATAAGGTGCTTTAGATGTGGCAGGAATGGCCACATTAAACGGGATTGCCGCGTTCAAATGCGATCCCGTTCACCATCCAGAGAACGTAGGCACCAGGAAAACTAAAATCAGTCAATACTAAGGGGCGAGTATTGACTGGGGAGAACAGAGCCCCCAGGATTTTTTCCATTAGGAGTCTGGGAAGAACCGCTGACAGTTTAGTGATCGACGGGAAGGTCAATGGTAGGAGAATCCGAATGACAGTGGACACTGGCGCTATGGTATCGTTGGTGCGAGCTAACTCAGTGCAAGGGTTGAAGCTGATGCCTCTGGGAAGAAGAGTGTGTTTACGTACAGTTACGGGGGAAATGGCCGTTGTACGGGGAGAGGCTATCGTCGAACTGAAGTTAGAAAATTTGAAGTTTCAGCATAGCGTCTTAGTGGCAGATATTGAAGATGACTTCATCTTGGGCATGGATGTGATTCGTCAACATGGATTTTCGTTCGATCACCAAAGAAATATCCTAAATATCGGAAACGAAGAGTTCATGTTATCTCCAGACGAGGGACCAGGAAGGATGGATGTAAGATCAGCGGAAACTGTGGTGATACCTGGTAATACCGAGAAGATCGTATTCGGTAAAGTGGAGAAAATCGCTGGGTGCTGTGTTGGACTGGTACAAAGTGTCGACAAGAAACAAGATAGGTACTTGGTGGGAAAATCATTGGTGAACACCGACAAGAATATACCGATCAGAATTGCGAATGTTTTTGTGTCAAGATCATCAATGAATTGTGTCAAGATCCAAAAAGGTGACAAGATAGCCATCTGCGAACCTGTAAGAAGTGTCACCCGATGTGATGAAGTGTCGTCAGCTGTTACACAAAAGGCATCCCAAGAACACTAAAACATCTAGAACAGCTATGGGATCACTAACACCTGAGGAGAAACAGAAGGCTAAGCAGTTCCTGCTCAAAGCATGGCAGTATTTTTGAGAAGAACAACAGTGGAAGAACGGATTTTGTGAAGCACCGGATTAATACTGGTCATGCTCAGCCGATTCGACAACGTCCTAGAAGGGTGCCCCTTTCCAAACAACAAGAAATGGAGACAATGGTAGATAAGATGCTAGAAGATGGAGTTATCGAAGAATCATCGAGTCCATGGTCATCTCCTGTTGTTTTGGTGACGAAGAAAGATGGTAGTACACGATTCTGCGTGGACTATCGGAAGCTCAATGACGTCACTAAGAAGGACAGCTACCCACTGCCACGTATAGACGACACGTTAACCACACTGGCAGGTTCGTGCTGGTTCTCCACTCTCGACTTAAAGAGTGGATACTGGCAAGTTGGTCTGGACGAGGAAGACAAAGAAAAGACGGCTTTTTCTACAGGAAACGGACTATACCAATTCAAGGTCATGCCGTTTGGATTATGCAATGCTCCAGCCACTTTCGAACGTCTCATGGAGGTGGTGTTAAGAGGATTAACTTGGAAAACGTGCTTGGTTTACCTCGACGATGTATTGGTTATGGGAAGAACTTTTGAGGAGCATTTGCGAATTTAGAAGAAGTCTTTGGCCGCATACGGAATGCTCACCTGTACTTGAACCCGAAGAAGTGTAGCTTATTCCAGCGACAAGTGGAATTCTTGGGTCATGTAGTCTCGGCAGACGGAATTTACACCGACCAGAAGAAAATCGCTGCGATCAAGGATTGGCCTAAACCTCGCGACAAACATGAACTTAGAAGTTTTCTGGGTTTATGCACCTATTACAGAAGATTTGTCAAGGGATTTGCCAATATAGCTGCACCCTTACATAGACTTACAGGTGATGAAGTCGGCTACGAATGGAACACCGATTGTGATGTAGCCTTTGGAAGACTTAAGGCGGCTTTATGTTCAAGTCCTATTTAGCCTACCCGCAACAACAAGGGAGGTATATCCTGGATACCGACGCCAGCAATATCGGCATAGGTGCAGTGCTATCACAAGTGCAAGATGGCGAAGAACGAGTGATAGAATATTACAGTCGAGTTCTATCCAAACCAGAAAGGAATTACTGCGTTACCCGGAAGGAGCTGCTAGCAATTGTGAAGGCAGTTGATCATTTTCATAAATACCTGTATGGCCAAGAATTTTTAATTAGGACAGATCATGCGGCTCTCAAATGGCTTATGGAGATGAAACAACCTGAAGGCCAAATAGCACGATGGCTCGAGAAGCTCCAGCAGTATCACTTTACCATCCAACATCGTGCTGGGAAGATGCATGGTAACGCAGACGGTTTATCCAGAAGACCCTGTCAAACCGATTGTAAGCACTGCTGTAAAACGGAACAACGTGAAGGCACTGTCATGATAAGGAGTTTTAAGCTTGGAGCTGATGAACAGTGGACGACGGCACAGTTGAGGAAAGACCAAATGGAAGATCCAGACATCGGAGCAATAC